AAATAAATACATTTTTAGTTATCATAGATCAACTAAATTTGGAATTAAATAAACGAGTAATAGCATATGAACAGGTTAGTAAAAAATTTTCTTTCTACATCACTAAATTATTAAGTACTGAAATTTATGAAAAAGCTGAAAACTTACAGAAATTTTACAAAGAAGATCTTGGTATTACATTTCCTAACGAATGCATTCATTTTAGTTCTTTTTTATTGTCGCTGCCTGATGATGAATTTCTCGATACAATAGGTAAAATGTATTCAACAATTATAGATGTTATTATATTTTGAAATATGATTATATGTTGAAATTGCCTTAAGAATATTCATCTGCTGCCCTATTTCAAATTGTTCAGCAATAAGGTTTTTTTCAGTTTTCTAAAGAATTAAGTTATACCTCAAATCAAAAACTACTAATGCGGTATAAAATAATGTGTTAGTGGTGTAGTGGTAAGAGCGCTCACTTTGTAAGCAAGAGGTTCAGAGTTCGACTCCCACCACATACCTGGAAGTACCGTGCTCAACTTAATTTCTCCGCGCAGCGGTCTTGCTTGTCAAGGTTCGTGTTTCGGAGTTAAAGAGTTGAGAGAGGGTTGTACCACGATTTCCAACAAAAAATAAAAAAAAAAAAAAAAAAATGAGTTGCCTCCTCGACTGTAGTGGCCCCCTCGGGCCTTGGGGAGGTGAATAATTAAAAAAAAAACAAAAAAAAAAAACAAAAAAAAAAACTGAAGAACGTTTAGTAATTGTTTAGTAATTTTACCAATTGAGTCATCTAACCAATAAATTGAATTATGATGATGTTATTAATTTATTTGGCAATGAAAAAGCTCGACATAAACTTTAAAGGACTATGATTTAAAAATAATTTTTTTTTATCATTTAACTATACCTGACTATTTTTTTATTTTATTTGAGATAACTATTGTCTATTGATAATAAATGCTGAAGAATAATATAATAAGTATTTATTTAATTTGATAAAACTGCTTTTTTTTTATAAAACCTATACTATTGATTTATATTAAAAAGAGAAGTACGGGGCGGTAAAAATTATTTTGACCCTGGGCACCAAATCTCTAAATACGTCTCTGTATATATATTATATATATATATATATATATATATATATATATATATATATATATATATATTAAAATTTTTTTTAAAGATAGATAAGAGTATTTTTTTAAATGACCTTTGATGGCCTAACCCTCTTAATCCATTCCTAGTAGTTAATTTATTAAATTTAGATCACCTTTAGACTACTTTAGGCATCCATAAAGTATGTTTGCTGTACAACCACTTAATATTTTTAATGACCCCCACCATAAATTTAATTAAAATAAGAAATATGCCAATGATATTATGTCAATGGGTAATTAAAAAAGCAATCAATAATAACAATAAAAACAAACAACAACAAAATTTTTTTATTTTTATTATTGTGATGTTGAGAGGTTCTGGAGGTTGAGTTTTTAATTGTCACGTTGTTGCACTTTTTGGTGCAATAAAACCCATTCCAATTGTCTTCAGATAAAAACCATTCCAAATGTTGCTAACACACAAATGCCCTCAAATCATTTATCAAGACATTCCTTCATCTATTGCCCCAGTACTGTAGTCTCAAGCTGCCGTAACTCTCCTTAGGAGGAATCAGCCATCAAGGAGAAACAGCAACTCTAGCATGGAGATATAAATTAAAGTTCAGCAGGTGCAGTTGAGAGGAGGCCATACTTCCTAAACCAGAAAGATGATAGTGATCTAGACCAGAGACCTAGGTCTAAGTCAAGTGCTGAATTCTGATATCCTGACACTAAATTTTCCAATTGTATTCAGTCTGAAAAACTGGCTGTGCTTTTGCAACAATGGGATTCATATGTAAATGGAAATCATAGTAACCAGCCGAGTATTCATTGTGCCTATCACTAAGCCAAGCTTCTGAAGCAGCTAATTGTTCAATGCTTAAAGATTTTCCTAAAATTAAAGAATATTATTTTTTTGTTTTATATTTTATAACTGAGAAATAAATATCCTATATGGATATTATTTATTAGTCATATATTGTGTCTGTAGTCTAGAATCGACTAATGTGTTATGTAAGTTAAAAAAATGTAGTTTAGAGTCTGTTCTTTCAACTTTGGGGTTAGATTTTGTGGCCATACCTTGGTATTTAATATCAGTCAAATTTGCCAAAAAATGAAAAGGTTCCATTGCTTCATCAAATTTTAACTTAATTTCAATATAATATGGCTTCAGGTCTTCATCTTTCAGGAGAGACAACCAAATTTCACATGCATCTGACAATTATGTTGAATCACTTTGTAGCTATAAATATAATTTTTTTTTAAATACCTATATAAATATTTTAACAGTATATTGAAGAACAGTTTACAATATTTTAATGACTAACAACTTCAATTTACATAAAGATTTTTAGCTTCCCTGAAAATTGCAGCATTATCTATAATTTTCTTGATATAATGTTTAATATCACCTTCATGCTTCACTATAATATCAAGATAGTGGCTATAATTTTTAATATAAGTCTTTAAACAGTCTACTTGAGAGTTCCATCGTGTATCATTAGGAAGTTGCAGCATAACTCCATTCCTATCATCCAAAAGCCATCCCTGAAATTAAGAACTAGTTCAATTAGTTGATATAATAATAAAACTGAGTAAATGAGTAAAAAAAAATTGAAACTGTAAAATTAAAACAACATATTATAAACAACACTCACACGTGGTTGGTGATGATTACAATATTTACTCACACGTGGTTGGTGATGATTTCGGAAGTACTTGTTAACTTCAATTAAATGTGCCAGAAAACTTGGTGTCACCTGATTCTCAACTAAATTTAAGTAATGAGCTGAGCATCCATATGTAAGTAGCAATGGATATTCCTCTTTAAGAATTTCTTTCATCTTTTTCATTTTGTTCTCATTATCTGTACAAATGGCAAATACCAAATACATTTTTAAATAATAATCTTAAAACACCCTCTTCGCTTAACCAATTTGCAAACAAAACTTAGGCAAATTCTTCTACTGAACGACAATGAATTTTTCTTCTAAGGCGTTATATAAGAGTACTCTTATGATTTCATTTATAGAATTATAAATATATTTATTAATTTTATCTATACATATAAAAAAAAAACAATTGCAAAATTTTTTAAAACGATTTAATTTTATCATTTGTTTATTACTGAGAATGTAAATAAGTTTATACTATATATTCTTGAAATCGTATGTAAAAAATACCCCTAATTGTATGGCAAGTATTTTTATGTGAGTGTGTGCATTCACTTTTTATCTTTTTATTTTGTTATCTGTATATTTTATTATTATTATTATTTTTTTCTTAACTATTCTCAATCAAAAAAAGAAAGAAATGCAGTTAACATCTACTCAAGGTGGGTATTTTTATAGAGACATAATCTCTAGTTTTTACTCAACCAAAAGCCTTAAGGCAGGAGATTTTCAAGTCAGAGATTGTTTCTCCTAGCCTTTGCATTAAAAAGCACAACCTACAAGGCAGAAGGGCATAGGGCAGGTAGTACTGGGCTACATGATACCAGTAGCAGAGTGATCATAAGGATCCTGAACCTGTTGTTTTTCTAGTCTTTAGACATAAGCAATCGAAATATAACATTTTGAATTCAAGTTCAAAAAATGTGTTACATAGTGAAACTGTAAAAGAAGATATAATATTGAGATGGGCTTTGAACAATTTTGAAATGCAAAGAATTCAAGAATCGCCTGTGGAATTCTTGAAATATTATTTGAACATTAGCTGTAAAAAAGTGGGTTACTTAAAGTCTGAGTTAACAATATTGCAGAATATGAAAAGACATTGATCAGGCTTTGTAGGGAAACCAGTGCAACCACACTCTAATTCTGACCACACATATAATATTTTGTTGCAACAACTTGGCCAAATTTTTTTGAGACATTTTAAAAATGATTAGAAAATGCGCAAAAAAAAAAAAAAAAAAAGACTGGCGGGAGAAAATTACAAAAAATAATTACTAAAAAAAGAAATTAATTCTTAGCAAAAAAAAAAACTCAACTAAAAAATATAAACTATGTTTAGAAATAATAATTCCAAACTTCTCTCTTTTATAGTTCTTTCATAAAATTAAGATTTTTTATATAAAGTAATAACTTACTATTAATAATCATTCTATTTGTGTATTAATGTTTTTTTTCAACATGATTCTTAAAATTAACGCTAGTTGAATTATATAATAAAATAAATATTTTTTTATAACCATTTCATTCTTCACATAGCTTGAAAAGTTTAAAATATTTGAAACAACTCTTCTTAAGTAAGATGAACAAAAGAAATAATTAAACTGTTGAGTTATTATAGAAATATTATAGCTTAAGTAGGCTTAAGTCCGCCCAATGGCAAATACAGTAGGCTTGAGTCCGCCTAATGGCAAATACAGTAGGCTTGAGTCCGCCCAATGGCAAATACGGTAGGCTTAAGTCCGCCCAATGGCAAATACAGTAGGCTTGAGTCCGCCTAATGGCAAATACAGTAGGCTTTAGTCTGCGCATTGGCAAATACAGTAAGCTTAAGTTCGCACATTGATCTAACTACAGCAATGTAGACTTAGCAGAGGGTTTGGACTTCAGATAAATTTCGATTTTACAATATTTTTATTAACTTGCTGTCTTGTTTGTTAATTTTTTTGTTTGTTATGACTTTGTCCGCGCAAAACAAACATTACTTCAGCGTAAATAAAAAAAAATAGTCAACAGATGTTAATCCATGACATACATCTACACAATACAGTTAACACAATATATACACAGTTAACACATATTTATATATATATATATATATATATATATATATATATATATATATATATATATATATATATATATATATAGAGAGAGAGAGAGAGAGAGAGAGAGAGAGAGAGAATGAGAGAGAGAGAAAGATGGAGAGAGAGATACACACACATAAAAAGTATAATTACCGAAGCAAGAATCAGGAGCTTTTTATTTTGCTCTTCAACTTTTAACATCACTTTATTTAGATATTGATCCCACTAAAAAAGTTTTATAAATTTCATTTGTTTTAGCTAAAATTTCTTTTATTTTAACAATAAAATTCAAAATTAAAAAACAAACCATTAACTCTAAACTTTCTTTCTTAGCTTTTAACTGTTTTATAATATTTTGATGATCTGTTTCTTCTACAATTTCCTACAAATAGAAAAACTTTAAAAGTAAAACAATAAAACTCACAAAAAATAACTTAAAAAAAAAAATTATATTTTTTAAATAATTTTGCAGACAAAATAGCTATAACTATAGAACATAATGAAATCTATTTTTGAAATCCAAAAATAAGATTATCGACAATTATCTTTTTAGAAAGAAAAAAATAAGGTTTTTCATTTTGCTAGGAAGTCACCCAAAGATTTCTAATAAAATAATTTTTCAAGGAAAAATTTATGTAAAAAGCCACAGTGAGAAAATTAAAAAAATAACAAAAAAACAAACAAACAAAAACCATCAGATATAAACATGTGGTCCTTAATAATAGTGTTACTGGGTCAGAAAGTTTATATTTGTTAATAAAAATAAATTTAACTTGTACTTACGACAGAAACTAAGTAATACACATATAAGATAATAAGCATACACGTGTAAGGGTGGTTTATGAGTGCAACCACTGATTTAAATAAAAAATGTGTTGATTTCTTGAAACAAAATATAATATAATAAAATACCGCATAACTTTTTAAATAAATTCTACATGTACCTGAGACATAAAATACATCCATGCATATGTTGAAATATTTAATGTGCAAAAAAAAAAAAAAAAATGTTTCTGAAACCAAAATGTTCACATATACTAATTAAAGTCAAAAAAAAAATTGAAATCAAAAAACAAAATATTGCCTTGTTTAATCTAAATTTTCTATGACCAAAAAAAAGTTTCATTACATCATTAACAAAGACAGAACTTCAGGAACAAGTTGAGAGTTTTCCATTAGATTTGTGTTTTTTGTAGCTAATGTTAGATATTAAAAAAAAAGCAGCCAATCAAATTAATTGTAGTATTTATTCTAGATATCTTGGCTTAATGGTTTAATCTAGTTTAACAAATTTTATTCAAAGTTTAACAAATTTCCTTATTTATAGCCTTTTCTGACTCCTCAGAGTAGAAACTAATGAGCAGTACTAATGCTCAAAAATCTATACCTAATGTTCCAAGTGCTTTTAAACAGTTAGGAAATCACATACCAGGAACTCTTTATCTTATTATTTATTTTTCATTCGTTATTAAGGTGCTCCAAAAAGATCTAATGGTCTTATCATAGAGCACAGTGGAAGAGCATTTAACCTTGAAGTTCATGCCTCCTTTCCAACCTATGTCACTTATCTGACCAGAACTGGGATTGAACCTCAAACTTCTTGTTTCTGATCAAAAACTCTAATCACTGCCCCATAGCTTTTTGAGTACCAGGCTGCTAGTTTGAGTAGCATGATCTGTAGTTTCATAGCAATACTAACTAAACCTTTTTTTGTTCAAGTGATAATCAAGTTATAAGAGCATACTTAGAATCTTAGGTTTGTCCTCAATCTGATAATTACATCTACCACTACTAGTATTATATCAGCAAAGATCTTAACACTTTATATACCTTTTTTGGCAATGTTTTTATCATTAATGTTGCCAAAAACCAATTTGGTCATATTAACAACATTTAAAATTAGCTCCTCTGTAAACCTCTGTGGAATATTCTTTATTTTATTTTTTACTGATTCAGCGGAGGATTAGGCAAAGTATTTTTTAATGTGCATCTTGTATCTCAAATGTAGAATATACTCAAAAGATCTGAGCTAGCAATGCAGAGTAGAAAGCCCCAAGACAAAGTCTTTTCAAAGTCTTTTCAAAGTCAAGACAAAGTCTCTTCATTTACTGGTTTAGATCTGATCAATGCTGGATAACTAAATTCACTTGGTTTAGCTTTACAATTAGAATGAAATAGTGTTAGTAAAAACAACTTTAAATTAAAAGCATACACACTTTACATCAAACATTATTAATGCTTGCATCAGGTTTGCTTATTGTTAATTCTAACTTTACCTCAAACTCTTAAGGTAATCATTTAATATGATTTTATTCATTTCTTGTCAACTCTTTTGCTCTAATTTATTATTGGAGATGTAGAGGTGCAATAACTTATAATAGATAGCCTTATGTTTAACCATACTGTTTCCTTCATGATGATTAATTTGAGTTGAACAAAAGCTGTTAAAAAAAGAATTTTTACACTAATTGGGACATCTCCAATATTTGTTTTTATTCACAGTTTTATTTATACAACTAGAGGCACCACCAAAACATTTGAAAAAGGCTCTTTATTGAAACAAAGCACATTAGGGAAACTTATTTTAGTTTTTTTGTTGTTGGTTTTCATATATACCTATCAGTGGGAAAATGTTAAAACTACCATGGAATCTAAAGGAGTTTTTTAGTTTTTTAACAGAGCTTATCATTGAAAGAATTAAAAAAAAAGAAAAAAAAAAAATCTAAATTTAATTTTTTTTTTAATTCTTCCTTAAAACATTCTTATCTAAAACTGTTTATTCTTAAAAGAAAAATTTCTAAAAATGTCAGAGACCAAAAATTGCACAATCATCAAGTCATTGTCTATTTATTATAAACTTTGTGCACTTTGCTAATTCTGTGCAGTTTGTTAACTCCATCAAAAATAAATCAAATCATTGATTTCTGGCTGAACAACAACAAATTATTAATAACATTTTTAAAATTGATTGTAAATGAATTCAACCTAAATAAGTTGAACTGCAGTCAAAAACAGGCTAGAAAAACTCCTGCTAGTGACACAGTAACAACCATCACTTCTAGTCAGAATATAACCAGTAATTGATGATCTTCCTAAAAAATACATTTTTTAATCCATGATGTGGATTTAGAACTAAAATTAACAGCAATATTACACAGTATAGCTGTATTACATACTAATTACAACTCACAAGGTCAATTAATGAACTTAAATCACAACTATTTTGGTTTTTGGTTTAAGCTCCTGAATAATATTTGATTTTGAATTAAAACTATGACAACATGTGTTTATCAGTTAGAAGGTAAAAAACTCACCTTATCTATTTCATTTTGAACATCAGCTTTAACAATGTTAATCTGTGCTTGCTTTTTCTCCATTTTACTAACAATATTCTCTAGTTTCCTATAAAATTAAATTTAATTAAAAAAAAAACTTGTTTATAAATATCAGATACATCCACTTGGCACTAAAAATGTTTTACACCACCATTTATTAAAATATTAATGCTAACCAAATAATACATTTGTACCGGCCAAGTTAAAACCACGATTCTACCAACTTCTGCTTTAATTGTGGAAAGATATGTTTAGGGGTTAAAATTGAAATAGGGCCAAGTTTGCTACTGGGGCTGCATAAACATTGATACATCCTATAGTATATTTTTTATTGGAAATTTATGTTATATTTTATATAAATATTTATACTTTTGTGTATATTTATATACATCATGATTATTATCATAATCATCATGATCATCATCATAACCAAGTTTTAGCGTTCTCCTTTTATGTCGTTTCTCTAATATAAACAATCTTGAACATCTTCTTTCCTTAACTAAACCTCGTTCATGCCACATTAATGCACTCTCACTAAGTTTTCTTACTTTTACTTCTATCATTTTCTCCTGAAGCTTCTACTATTTTCTCCTGAGGCTGCTACCGCTTTACATGCTGATACACTTAATCTTTTCTGACAATTATTGTATGGTACAACATTGTTTCTAATCTTTATCTAAAACTATAGCTCCTTTTCTTGTCTTGTTAGAGTCAGACCACACATCCATCTGATCATCTCTTTCGGCAAATACTACACCATATAAAAACTAAAGTTTATATAAATATGTGAGGATATTGTATGCCAGCATCTAAATAAATAGTAAACATATATGTTTATCCATATATATATATTATTATTATTTATCCATATATATATATATATATATATATATATATATATATATATATATATATATATATATATATATATATATACAAAATATGAATGCATAAATGTGCCTTTTTTATCTATCCTTCTGGTTTAAAGCAAGTATGGAAACTTTTATTCCTATTTGTCAGTTTTAACCCTTATTCTACTTCACGTTTTCACCTTCTTATGCATATTAAACTATATTTATTTTTTACCTTTTTTTTACAAGAACATCTCTCAATAATAAAAAGGCATTTTAGAACAAATACCTTTTTATTATTGCAAGAAGTCAATGTAAAAAGGTCTGTTTGATGCTAAGCTCCATTATTCTCAGTGTATTAAATCTTGTATCTTATCTCAGATGTTGGATTCTAGACTTTCAAAAAACTTTTAAGTGTCAAGTGCAATGAACTTTTCCTGTAATTTGACTCTTGAATCTAATGGCCATACTCTTCCAAACATTCAAGTTAAACAAATTAACCTAATGTTAGTTACCCAAATCACTCCAGCTTTCAAGTTAATTCTTAATTAAACTCTTCTACGGCTTGTGGGTCAGACAACATTTCCATCATATTCTTACAAAAGTGTTTTCCAGAACACATTTTGACTCTATCAATAAGTTAGCACTTCAGTGGTTCCAATGATTAAAAACACTGAAAAAATGCACTGACATCTCTAACTATCTTACAAGTAGTAAATTAATCTCAAATCTGCCCTTGTATGAAAAACTGTTGCCATACCTAGAACGATTTTTCGAATAATGCCCTTTCTCTTTTAGACAAAGTGCAAAAATGCATCGCAAAATTAGTTAGACCTGCTCTTGCAGCCAATCTTCAACTATTATCACATTATCAATATGTTGCTTCTCTATAAATTTTCTATAAATACTATAATGGGTGCTGTTCTAAAGAGCTGGTGTCATTTTTGCCATCTACTAAAACTTATTCTTGTGTTACTCGTCATTCACTTAAGTCTCATCCTTTTACTGTGACTGTTCCCAAGTGCTAAAAAAATTCTTATTCGCCTAGTTTTTTTCTCAAACATCAGTTCTATTGAATTTGCTCCTTTCATCTTGTTTTCCTGCCTCATATGATTTGCAATCTTTTAAGTTGTCTGCTAATCGTTATCTTGATCTATAAACTTTATCTTTTTACTTTTAGTAACTTCCAACTCTAATAGCAGTAGCTTGCAGCCTTGTTGGAAGTAAAGATGTTTGAAAAAAAAAACTTTTACACTTAGTAATAAATCTACAAAATAAATTCTTTTTTACCATCTAAAAATGTAGGTTGTTTTATGGCAACTTTTTTGGAATGACCTTTTTTTATTTATGGTGATACTGTGAAAATTTTTAAATTATTTTATTTTGAATTCATGTAAATAGATTTGTGTTTATGATTTTTAGATATTCATCTGTACTTTACGAAGTAGATTTTTTAGCACCTTAAAATGTAGGTCAGAATTTAGAAAAATTAAAGAAATTATAATTTAAATTTTTCAAAATCATTAATATTGAAACTAGTACATCTAATACAGATATTTTAATCAAATGTTGAAGTATGATATAAATAAATGGAAGTTCAATTTCAGGTTGAGTCCAAAGAAAATATATCAAGCTGCATCTTACAGGGACAAAATAGAATAAGGGTAGCCGGTCAAATTTAAAAATAATATTCCATGACTTTTCATAAATCTTCATGATAATTTACAAGGGTAAAATATCAAATGCTTGCCTTGCAATTTATTGAAATGTAAACTATCTTATGAAAAGGTGACCTGACCTAACCAAGACATAAACTATTTTTGCAAATATCTTAAAACTATTCAAAAATAAATAAGGATCATTTAAAAAAATTCAATGAATTTTTCATGACTTTCAATAAAAATTTAGGAATTCCATGATATTTCCATTATTTATATGATCAGTGGCAAAATAAATATATGAAAACATTTTAGCAAGTGTTGTGGATTATTGTGAAAAAAATAAATGTTGAGGCTACAAAGATGTTAAACAAGGTAGATGTACAGATGACTAAGGTAGACTGTTTAAATTATAAATTGCATTTTAAACATTAGTCTTAAAATTAGTGAAAATAAAATAGAACTTTCAAAAATAAAGAATCAAGTAAATCATAACTTTCACAATTGTTATTGGCTGCGTATATTAGAGAACATATTTAAAAAAAAAATCACTTTTTTTTTAAAAAATAAGTTCTCTAGTATGATGACCTTTGATTGTTATGGGTTCACGAAAATATTAGAGGAAATATGGTCATTATGACAACAAAACTTTTATCAAGGCACATAATTTGTTGCTATTGTAGAGCCAGGTCTAAAATGTCAAATGGATGTAAATCATTAAATTTGAACAAGGAGGGAGATATATAGCAACTATTCAATCTTCTCAAAACAAACCATTTTTACAAAAAATCAATACAAAAAAAGATTATTTCATCTCCTCAAGATCTTAAAACAAGTTCTTTAATTAAAAAAAAAATGGCATATTAAGTTATCCATTGTCTTGCTAATATTACATTACTAATTGAAGATGTTCTTGATTTGCTACCATTCAAATGTAACTCTAAAAGACTCCTCTAAAAAAACTGTAGGAGTAACTAAACAATGGAGGTAACTAAAACAAAAAAAAAAAGAATGAGAAAAATTGAACAATAATAACAAAAAATAATTTCTCAAATGCAAAGGCTGGTGTCAATGTAAAGACACCTTTACATTGACAAAAGCATTTTTTTTAATTTGGCTCTGTGCAGTGCTCTATTTGCAATGTTTTAAATTCATTTTGTACCAAGCAATCCTGCTGAGTTGATAGTCTTGAACCAAAAATGATCAAACCTCTGAATCATTAACATTAACTGTTAAGATTTTTATGAATATTTGTTACTTTTTTATAAATATATATAAATTGTGCTTTATTTTGTTATTTTGAAGTTTACTTTGTTTTGCTCAACAATTCCTAAATTTAACTTTAATATTTAAAGATATTATTATAAAAACTTTCGAAACTATTATACTTTTAATAATAACTGGAACAGCAATAGAATTTAGATTTTGTTTTAAGTTGAAATTGAAGTCCTTTAATTATTGATTATTACCATTTATTTCTTCATTCAGGGTCAATTTTATGTTTCAAATAAAAACGTATCAAATTTTTGAAACAAAGACTCAGACAATCAATCAACATATAATCAGCTGTCAGCAACCAATTACCATAAAATGAACTGTTTCAAATTTTATTGTCTTATGCCTTAACTATTTTATCGTATAATATAAACCTTATTGTGATTCAATGATAGAAGAAATAAAAACTTGAGTAACAATATTTTAAAAAATAAAACATGCCATTTTATAAAATGTATTTAAAACAAGTAAAAAATGTATCATTTAATTTAATGTCAAAAATGTGTCATTTTATAATATAAAACATTTAGAAGAGCATGACTTTTATAAATTTTTTTTTTAGTATTTTAGCATAAAAGTTATTAAAACATTTAACTAAAATGTTATACTTTTCTTGAATAGCTTTACGATTCATAAAGTCTTCTTGAAGTTTCATTTTGCGAGCCTCAGCTCTCATGTTACTTTCTTGATTAAGACTTATAAGCCTTTTACAACTCTATAAAGTAAAAATGGTTACAATAAATTATTCGCAAATCATTAAAAAAAATTAAATAATATCTAACACACCTATGATGCTTATATAAACATATATTACATGTATATATATTATATATATATATTATATATATATATATTATATATATATATATATATATATATATATATATATATATATATATATATATATATATATATAGATATAGATATAGATATAGATATATATGATACTATAATGATTTAGATGATAACATAAAAATAACCTCCATATCTGCATTTATTTCTTGAATTTTATAATTAATCCTGTCTGATTTCTCCTTCATTTCTTCTATTGCAGACAATATTGATCTAATAAAAAATAAATAAAATAATTAAGATAAAAACAAATGAATTTTTTTTTTTAACAAGTAAAAACCTTAGTTTTGCTTTACAACTTGGTGGTTATAAACTTACAATCTGGAGGTTACAAATTGAAAAAGCATACTTGCATTGAGCCATGTCAGTTTGAACTTCTTGTATCATAGTTAAAAAAGATGGGACATTCTAAATAAGAAAACAATACTTATTTTATATTGATGTTTTCAATTTTTTTATTTTTGTAAATTTACATATTTGCTGGGACTTTATATAGTACTTAATTGGCTTTATGCATTACGTTTTTTAAAATATTTACCTCAATTAAATTTTCCATCATTTTTTCTTTGACAGATAAATTTTTTTTTCTTAATACCCGTTCTTCTAAAGCAGCTTTTGCTTGACTAATAGACTTTGAGGCTTTTGCTAAAATCTTAAAAAAAAATCAGATAAAATATTTCTGCATTAATTTAAAAATATTAAAAACTGTAAACAAGAAAACTGGGATTTTTTTTGGTGGGAACAACTAAACAGGGACAACTAAAACATTAAACATTGATGATGTAGAAATAAAAAGAAATAAAATAAGTAACTCAATACCAATGAGATGCTAGATTTTCAAAGGTAGACTTAAACAGGGGACAAAGAGATATGTCACCTCCTAACAAGTCACTTCCTGATATGTCGCTTCTTACCCTTATTTAAATTCTCCTAAAGTTCTAAAAAGATGCTATATAGAACTACAAAATTTTAATATCAGGAAAAAATGAAAAATAACTACAAAAAAATGTTTACTTAAATAGTTCAAAACTATTTAATAAAACAAGACAATTATAAGGACCATGTCATAAGACAATTACAAGGACCATGTCATAAGACAATTACAAGGGCCATGTCCTGGTCATAAGAGTAAACTGACTTTATATTAGGGCAGGTTAGGCTCTTAATTTATTTGGAGGAGACGTTACTTTGGAGAACTAAACAGCTAGGAAAAGCTTGTATACTCTTGATTGCAATAAAAATTACCAAATAAAAAACCTAGAGAAACTGCGTTAATATGCTAATACATCTAATGCAAAGGGAGAAAAATTAAATATCGGAAAGTAGGGAAGAAAAAAGCCAGGAAAGGAAATTGCAATAAATTAAATAATAAATTAATTTTCAAAATTAAAAAACATTTTGTCAAAACAACAATTTGTTTCTGAGAAGTATACTGTTTCAAGACTATAAATAAATTAAAAAAATCATAAAAAAACATTTAAAAAAGCACAAAAAAACAAACTTTAACAACATCATTTAGAGCACTCTGCTTGTAATAAAAAGTATATACAAGATATTATAAAAGTTCAAAAAAAAAAAAAAACTGCTATAAATACAAAGGTATACAAAGAGCAAGATGAAGTCTGATTAAAACAAAGTAAATAAAATGTTGAACTTTTACTAACACTTGAGTAAATATCAAATTAAAAAAGATAAACATAGTAAAATTCCAAATTCAAATCTCCATAAATCAAAAAGCATATCTTCAATCAAATGCATAAAAATATCCAGAAGAAACTTATGTTCATCTTTCTTTAACTTGAATTCACATGGATTTTTTAGACAGTTGTTACAGTGTAAATTTTAGACATTTCTGATTCATTAACTGCTTTGAAAAATTTAGATGAATTTATTTTTTGATTTTGAAAATGAACATGGCAACAAAGTAACAACATAAAAATAACAGTATAATAAACATAAACATAATAAACAAGTCTTCAACAGCTTCTTTAACTTTCTTTCTTGATCAAGTTTTTTTCTAATTAAAAAATGATAATAATAAAAGAAAGTCCAAGATCAAAGTTCACTCTTAAAAGTTTTTTTTACTTTCTGAAGGCATATTTTTAAAATTCTCTGACAAAAAGTGAATACATGAACAAATTCACTAATTTTTATTAATGTTCAACAAGAGGGTAACAAGATTTTTACATTTGAATGAGACAAGCATAGTAGAGTTTGTTTTCCTGGAATAATGCTGATAATGAATGAATTAACAAGCTCAGAAAAGTCAATACACAATTATTGAACAACTTTTTTGCTCAAATGAATAATTAATTAAACCTTTAAAGCACAAATATTATGGGATTTAAGTCTTGGAATCACAATCTGCTTGTCTGTTTCATTTCTACTAGTACTTTTGTGCAAAAAAAAGTCAATAATTTAAAAAACTCTCAAATACAAACTTTTATTTTTCTCTATAAAATTTGAATTAAAGATATTGTATTAAAACCAAATTTTGGAAATAAAAATAAAATTTATCACTTTACCAAAAAATTTTGAATTTCTTCTACTTCCCTCTTCTTTTCTTCAACACTGCCTGCATAATCAACCTTAATATAATCATAAATCCATAATTGCAAAACAATAAATGTCAAACATTAAATTTCGACACATAAAAAATACCATAAAAAGCTAGGCAGTATACATATAGAGAGATCTATTATGACACACAAAAAAAAAGGTATACACTCAAAAATACAAAATAATCTACAACTGCAACCCTGAGTCCCCAGTAATCTGTACCTATGCAAAAAACGTAAACGCAAAAAAAAGTTTGTTTTAAGTTTGCGTTCCAAAATAAAAACTCATAAAATTGACCCTTTTAGAAAAGTCAGTCAGTCATATATGACTTGTCTAAAAGGGTCAAATTTGCCGACTAAATGAACAAAAAACTCATTGATGAGGGGGAGGTGTAAAGCCCCCTCTTCTCACCAACCTTACATTTATTTAAAGATAAAAAGTAAAAACAGTAAAAAATGTTAATAACTTCATAACTAATCATATATAAGATTTTTAAACTTATCATCAAAATAACTCTGGTTTTGAAAATATACGCTCATGAGATGAAATCATCATCAAAATAACTCTGGTTTTGAAAATATCATCAAAATAACTCTGGTTTTGAAAATATACGCTCATGAGATGAAATCATCATCAAAATAACTCTGGTTTTGAAAATATCATCAAAATAACTCTGGTTTTGAAAATATACGCTCATGAGATGAAATCATCATCAAAATAACTCTGGTTTTGAAAATATCATCAAAATAACTCTGGTTTTGAAAATATACGCTCATGAGATCTGCTTGTATGCTCATGAGATCTGCTTGTATGCTCATGAGATCTGCTTGTATGCTCATGAGATCTGCTTGTATGCTCATGAGATCTGCTTGTATGCTATTTTTTCAGATAGATTGCCAAGGCCATAACCATCATTAAGAATAATTAATTTAGCTGAGTAATGAAAGACTTCATAATGGGTGTGGCTAATTTTTGCCAATAACTTATGCCAATAATAAAAAAAAAGGCTAATTTTTGCAGATAATGTTAAGTGCAGCATTATTTTACAACTCTTGAAATTTATCAATTTTAATTTTATGTTGACAAGAAACTATACAAAGTATTACACTGATTTGAGAATATAACAGCGACATGCTCTCTTTGTACATAGGTGTGCATAGATCTTTTATAGTATATATCAATTCTTCAAAAAAAAATAAAAAATGGCCTTGTGAGCCGTTATTAGATATACCTCTGTTTTCACCAGAGTTGCAACACATATCAAATAGTCCAGTGTTTTCTTTTATTGTAGTAACAACCCTGTGATTACAATATATATTGGTTCACCAAGTGGTCCTATTTTTTTCAACCAAAAGTCTATAATTTATGTGACACCGATACAGTAGTTTTAAGAACTAGGTAGTCCCATTTTTGTATAAATATGAATGTATAATACTTTTTTGATCAGATTTGATTTGTGTTTTTTGAGTCAGTCTTTTTTGTGTGACAAAATCTCCAGTTTTAGTAGAAATATACTATCCTCATTAACTAGTTATTCAGCATTTATTTTTCTTTTGATGATTAATCAATCAGGAACCCTTCACTAACCCTCTCAATAGTTTTGCAAAATATACAACCTGCACCACCTAGTCCACTGATGAGTCGTTTAAATTTTAAATTCTTCATTTTATCTTAAATATAAATTTTGATATTGACATTTTTTGGCAAAGGACAACACATTCCCTATTTAATTCTTATCTACTGATAATAGGACAATAAGATCTAGCAAATCTTGATTAGTTTTTGTTTTCCATATCAAAAACACTTGACATAATGACCTTCTTTTGATTTAATTGATGCTTGTTGCCCTGCTCCATCACAGCCTCCTTAAAACACATTTGATACTCTACTGAATAAAATAATCTTTAATTATATTTAAAACAAAATCATTACCATTCTTAAAAGTCCTTTGTATCAAACAGAAATACCTTTTGCATCCAAAAAATGACTAATTGTAAGAAGCAGTTTTTTTCCTCCTTCAAGTAATTTGTTGGTGGTTGGAAAATAGATGTTTTTTGAAGCAAAAAAAAATTTTATCTTCTCATTTGTTCCCTACAAAATGTAACAGATTGCATTAAAGCTATGGATGCATCTGTGTAATAGGTACCTATTGTTTCCATATGGTTTTAAAAAGTGCACTGCCAACCAGCAATAGTCTTATTATTTTGTTTATTTACTCTATATAAGAGGTAACCCAATAACTGGTTAACATTTAACTCAACATTCATTAGTATAAAATTGTTTATATAACTGACAAATTCTTATGTCCTTCTGTTCTTCATCTTATCAACCAGTTTAGTAAATAACTTTCTTTGTTTTGAAACACATGGTTCTGTTATGTAAGCATTAAAAACATACCCATTTTTTTTGAAATGTCTTTCTTTTAGGCATTTATAATGTTTCCGTGCTTTTTCAAACACATTTTAAAACTACTGTGAATTAAATTAATAGCCTTAAGTCTTGGACTTAAAAAACAGGCTCAGACAGGAATGGCGTGTGATTGCACAATGTAACTGACCATGCTTATAATTTTTTTTCTTTACAATTTGACCTCAGCTATTTTGATGTTTTAACAATTTAATTGTTGATCTTTTCGAAAGTTTTTATTTTACACGAAGGCATTAAATAAAATAAAAAATTAATTATAATGATTGTTTAAAATAAACACATTGTGTGTAAATTAACAAAAAATGTTATTTTTAAATTTTTTTTTATGTAGGCATGTATTTTTTATGATAAATTTAAACATTTGAAACTATTTTTACATGTCTTTGTAATTTGTAAAAGGGTTTAGCCTAACTTTAATAAAACGTTTCTTAGATAAGTTTTAAAGTAATTTATTTCAAACGCAATTAAAAACGTAACTTTCACAAGCAAAAAAAAAAAAGAGTTTGAGTTTTTTGAGTTTTATTTTAGTGTTTATATTTTTTTTTTCTCGTAAGGAATTTTTTTTGTAGTTTAAGTTTAGATTAGCATTTCTTTTTTCAATGCATTTGGTCAGCAACAGTGCTTGATGGCACACCATTCCTTTCCAAGCCTGAAAAAGTATTTCTTATTTTCTTTTAAGTTGGACTTAACAGGATTGTCAGCTTTAATAAATTGTGTGAAAAAATCTATTTCAGTGTACTTGAGCATTCAAATACTTGGATATTTATCAAGTGGCAGAACTATTGAATCAAGTGGCAGCACTATTGAACATTTGAAAATCTAATTACGATTATGGTACTTGAATTTATTGCTATAGGTTTTTACTTATTAAGTTATTTTATTAAATCAATAACAAATTTTTACATTTAATTTAAAAATATGTTTAGTAGAAAAGCTAAAAAAGTTCTGAAATTTTTATGCAAAGAAATTTTCATTAATATGCTTTACAATTGCAACCAGAAAATTACTCAAGTAGCAAAAAATATTGGAACAATTTTGTTTACAGTATGTAAAATTAAAAAAGTAAAGCTTTTCTTTTTCAATTTCAAGTAAATGAAGTTGCAAAAAAACCTTAAAGTCAAGCTTTTAGACAATAAATATTATCAAGTTGATGATAATTATTGACCAGAAGCTTGGCAACCTACTTTGCAAACATAATAACTAATAATAATAATATAAATAACGCAAAAATTTTTATAAAAAATATATAAACACTATATTTTTAAATTTAAAAAGTAAAGTAACTACTTAATAATAGTTTACATATTCTTGTAAAGAGACATAATTTTTTCCAAAGCAAAAGTTTTATGTTAAATGCATGCATAAACAAAGTTATTTGAATTAATTGCATGTAAGTTTACGTAACCAAATGCAATAAGTTGCATCAAAGGCGTTTGCATTTGCATATAAGCTTTTATTTTGGAATGCAAATACAAAATTCACTTTTTATTGCTCTTTTTTTTAACTCTTTCGGCACAGTATTTGAGTTCTGTTGGTTATTTTTATAACCAACGGGTCTTTTTAAATGATTTTTTTTTGCAAATTATTATGTAATAATTAACCATTTGAAAATAGTTAGTTATTGGAAAATTCTATATGTTGTAAATACATAATTTAAGCTTTGAAATGTGTAAGTTTTTTGAAAATGGCTTCGCAAAAAAGTTGTAATATTCTGCTGATAAAGTTTTGGATTATTAGTTAGATAGTAATGATAATGGGAGTGGTTTGGACTCTTCTGTTGGTAGAACGAGTAGTAGAGAAGAAAAGGAGTTGGACAAGCTTCTCATTGGTGGTTGCGATTCACAAACTCATTAAGTTTTCATATTTTGTTCATCACATATAATATATATTATATGTCACATATAATATACATATACTATTAATTTATGATATATAAATAATATCCTTCATGATGATTATTCACATAACCTGAGATGTGTTGCTTATGTTTTAGGTTATAAACTAATAATAATTATTTTAATGAAATCGAACAAGGTGTATTATTTTCTTGACAGTGACTCTAATTATGATAATGAAACTAACATTGCGACAAACAAGTTAAGACAAGTTGAAACTAACATTGCAATTAACAGTGCAACATCGCCTTACACTGCACTGTAGCAAAAAACTGTTTTACAATATGGCACAGCTCAAATTTTTATAAAAATATTTAATTTAAGTATTTATTTTAAAAGTATGAATTTTTAGTGTTTTCTGTATTCTATATCATAATATTATTTTTATTAGTTATTTGCTAATAAACCTCAAAAAAACAAAAACATTCCGAACAGAAGACTCAGGACAAAATAAAGTTTTGTTCAGATGATCTCAATACATGGCAATAAAAAAACAAATTTTGTTGAAAAGCAGTTTGAAAAGAATCAGATTTATAGCACTGAACAAGAATCAAAAACCTGCCATAAACACCAACAATGCAAAATAAAGAAAACATAGGCACAACTGATAATCAATGCAGATAACAAACCAAAAGTTTCAAAAAGGAAGTACACTATTATATAATGATCCTGATAATTACAAGATAGATGTAACGTTCACACCATCTCATGAACATGGAGCTTATTTAAGTCTATGGTTAGTACAAAACAATATAGCAAGGACAATTGATTATTTTTCCTTGTTCAAACACATACAGAATCAAGGAAAAGATAGCATGAAAGAAAATTCTTACTATAGCCTTTTAGATAAATGAAAGAAACTCAAGATTTTATTAGGCTTGAAGAATTTGCAAATCCCCCACAACAAAAGCCATATTTAACCTACAGGAAATACCATTTTGAGAATCTACCAAAGTTAGGGATCGCCGGTTACAGTATACGGTATTCTAACTTTACGGTAAACTTTACCGTATACTTGGTATACCAAATTTTAGTATACCATTTAGTATACATATATACTTTTATTTATGAAATATTTCTGGACTGACTTGATAATTTAATGATTATATTTCCTTATTAAATAGCTATACTATATTTATTTTATTATCATAACTAAAGTGTTTTTACCAATGCTTTTATTAACTCGTCGTCTCTGTTTGTCTGTGAACATGAAAATCTTGCAATCAATTTTTAAGTCACTTCCTGATAAAAGATTTTCTTCAAAATTTCCACACATACTCTTTTTTAATGCCAATACAATATTCAATAATTAATTTTGTAATAACCAATTAATTTAGTTAATTTTAATTAAGTTAATTTTTTATATAAAGAAAAGAATAATAATTTTAAAAATAAGTATAACAATTGTTTTTACACTTATACTCGCATCTAGCATATTTGGATAAGGCGTTGACTTGGTAAGCGGAATGCTTAAGGTTAATGCTTAAGACCCAGATCTTCCTTAACTTTTTTTTTTTTTTTTACACACGCATACAGCCGAATCTTAATAAAATAAAACAGTAATATCAGAAAAAATTGATTGCAAAATTTGTGTTTAATAACATATAAAAGCATTGGGTTTTAAAAATTCATTTTAAAATTTACAAGTTTAATTTGTTTTTTTAATGTTTTTTATTTTAGTTTGTTAATTTGTTATTGTGTTATACCAATACATTTTTATACCACGCTGTTTGTGCTGCTCTTTACCTTATATCTATCTCTAAAAATATTGTTTATAATGAAACATATAGTTAATATTATAATAAAACGCACAAAAAATAACATTTAATAAAAAAACAAAAACATTTTTAGAAATATACCGTAAAAACTTTTTTATTAACAATAATAAGGCTTTGCTAAAAAAAAAAGTTTTGTTTATGGTATACTTAACAGTATACTATACGGTAAACTGTATAATAAATTTTTAGTATACCGTAAACTAGGGATCCCTAACCAAAGTTGATGCACCTCCTACCGTGATGCACCTCAGAGCAATGTCGCCTTATACTTTACTGCAGCAAAAAACTGTTTTGCAATATGGCATAGCTCAGATTTTTATAAAAATATTTAATTTAAGTATTTATTTTTAATTTATTTATAAATTTGTTTTTATATTCTATATCATTAAAATATTTTTTTTTTTATTTTTTTTGCTAATAAACCCCAAAATGAACTGCCATAAACCTCTAGATCAACTTTTGTATAAAATATTTCTAAAAACCTTTAAAACTTTCTTTCTTTTTGCACCATTATAAATTTTAACACTATTATGTAAAAAAATTTTTGAATAGATTTGTTCAAAATTTTGTAAGCTTTTCAATAATATATAACATCATATACTTACAACTTTTACTTTTAAAGATATTTATATTTTTGTAAGACTCCTTAAAAAGTTGCTATTTTTTGACCGTACCGTTAGAGTTAATATATATGGTCAGTATATATATTAACTCTTTTTAAATAAGTGCAGCAGTGTGAGATACGTTAGCCCATTTTCACAGAGATTAAATTATTTTCAAACCTTTACTGAAGCAACCTCTTGATGCTTAGCTTTTAAAGCAGCTAAATTTATCTAAAAATAAAACAAAAAATTAAAAAAATAACAAATAATCAGTTGCATGTATAACTGTACTACATACAAAATATTTGTTAAAAACTGCTTTTTTATACAAAATGTTTTACATATATATAAATTTAAATATAATAGTAATTATTTTAAAAATGTTTATATAATTTCACTTTATTTGAGGCCCAACAAGATATATTTAAAAAAACTTTTTTTTTTTTAATGTTAGCAGGGGCTATTCTAGGAAAAAAATTATGCAGCGGTACCCCCTAGACCCGGAGGAAATTTTATCAAATATCGGCGTTTTTCCGTGAAAAAAACAATTTTTGCTGAAAAAAAAACAACGAAAAAACGTTAAGGTTCTTATTTTTTAATTTGGCCGGCGCCCAAATACAGTTGACGCTGTTAAAAAAGGTCTAGAATAGTACCTGGTAAGGAATCCATTAAATGTTCAAAGGTCTTGAGGCACCCTAAAAAATGCTTTTAATTTAAAAAAACTTTTAAATCCAGCGTTATTTTATCATATAGAACACATTAGAGTGCATGCTGCAGATATTTTTCAAAAATGTTGTTTTGTGAACCAACCAAAAATTTTCTTTTTTAATTCATTTTTCACTAACAGATGTTGAGTAGATTATGTATTTGCATAGAAAAAAAATTTAAGTGATCAATTAAGCGCTTTTTTAAAAAGAAATAGAAAATTTGTCAACTTAGCGATTTTAACTTGACGTCGTCAACTTAACGTCATAGAAATAGTATAAAATAAATTTTTTAAACTGGTCATATATTATTCTAACTAAATAGTTTATCTACATTTTAAACAAAAATTATAATAAATATAACTTTATTTTTAAACAAAAAATGCAATCTCTTAACTATCGACCTATAGATCGTATATGTAACACAAGTAAACATATGCGCTTTTAAAAAAACTTATTGTTTATAGTTTTCCGCGTTTTTTTTTTTGTTAATGTTTTTCATAGAAATCTCTTGAGTATAATTTAGACATTACAATGGTATCTTTTTTTTTAAGTTTTGATTGAACTAATCATTACTAAAATTCATTCAAACGTAAAGTCGACAGGAAATCTGTCGACTTATGAAAAATGTCGACTGGACAAAGGTTATAGAGACATAGTTTGTCGACTTTGGGCTGACCTAGCTTATATATCTTATATATCTTTTATATATATATATATATATATATATATATATATATATATATATATATATATATATATATATATACACATATATAAATATATATAAATATATATATATATATATATATATATATATATATATATATATATATATATATATATATATATATATATATATATATATATATATATATATATATATATATATATATATATATATATATATATACACACAAATAAATCCACAACCACTTTTTTGAAAATATACAACAAACGTTAATTTTAGAGTGAAATAAACGTGTTTTTGAATATTTATTTTATGAAAAATTCATTAATATTTTAATATTTTGTTGCAATTCTTTTGGCCTTTATCACCTCTGCTTCATATTACCAACTAATTTTCACAATCTGCCTGTGTGATTTTTGCCTATTCAAGAGCAATAACTTCTATTAAACGTTTTTTTGAATTGACCCAATGTGTTCTGACCCTTTGTTGCATAAGCCGAAAATTTCTATGGGGTTAAGATCAGGGAACTGTGCTGGCCATTCTAAAATTTAGATTTTATTTTTTACCAACCATTCCTTTGTATGGTGTGCACAATGGCATGGAGCATTGTCTTGCTAAAATAATATTGAAGATTGATCTTTATTTGGAAACATTTTATTGACAGATGTGTCATAACACGCTTCTAATACTTCAATATTTTTTTGAGTTTAGGTGTTCTTTACGTAAAACTATTTTCCCTGGTCGTTCTGCAACCATACAATTCCACATCATTACACTACCTCCACCAAATTTAACAGCAGACAACCAGGTCTTCTCAAATACCAAAAATCTGTAAAAAAAAAAAATCTAAAGCATCAAGCTTTAATTTTTTAATTTTTTTATTTATTTATTTATTTATCAATAATATTCATTGTTTCTAAAGAACAATTTATTCATTATTTCTAAAGAACATATTTAGTTTTACTTACCTTAAAGTTGGATTCGTTGGACCAGATTACTTTATCCCATTCTGCAGATGTTCAATCTTTGTGATGTATCACCCATTCTAGTCTTTTTTTCTTATTTTTTCTGAAAGCCAAGGTTTTTCAATCCACATTCTTTCATTCTTCTTCTGACAGTTTATGCAGAAAGATTGGCTCCAGCTGCCAAGGTCATGCAATAGCAACAAAGACAATTTAAAACAATTTTCCAAAGCCATTCGTGATATCATTCAGTCTTCTCAATCAGTAGTTTTCTATTTTCTTCCAGGTCAAACTCTACTTTGTGCTATATTTCGTGCCATTTTAAAGTTAGTTTCACTGCACCATGGGAACATTTCAATATTTTTGCAATGTTTCGCTCAATTTCTCCTTGCAAATGCAAAAGAAGGATCTGCCTTCATATTACTTCACTAAGTTCACATCATTTTTCTATTTTCTTAATGAAAAATATGATTCAATAAAATTTTCACACACAAAAAAATTACTATTTAGACTTTTTAACTTGTTTAAATGCACTGTGTCTGCACTGTGCAAAGCATAATTATAGAAAAAAAGCATAATTCACATTTTTATAACAAAATCCAGAGTAATGGAAATCTCATTAATAAAATGTAACTTAAGAGATTCCCTGATTTTTACTTAAAATCAATTTGTTGATTTAGCCCAAATATTATATATTTAATGTATATTATTCTTTATTTTTATCAAACTTTTAAAATGGATTCACACTTATGGCCACAGCTGTATATATTCATTATGACTGTTATGGGTATTAATCTATTATAGTTAATAAATAGTTAATATTTAGATAAAAAGTATTCTAAATTCTAATCTTTTAGTTTAAGATGAAACTGCTATATGCCAATTATCGAAAAAGTTACTGTACAAAGAAAACAAAGACCAAAAATGCCACTATCTGTAAGGCCAGGAATACCTATAAGCCAAATATTTACTCCATTACCAGGTCATGGCACAACACAGAAATCTTTAAGCGTTGTTAGAAATGCTATAACTGATGAACTTAGGACTTTTTCATTGGGTGATTCAGCAACATATATTTTAAAATATTTTATTAAATAATCTCAGTTTCAATAGTAACATATATGGCTGCAAAAACAATCAATATTCAATCTATTACATTTTATGATGATATTTCTTTATTTCTTGTTAAAATTTTTGAGTATTAACACTTCGAATTAACACTTTGTGTAAAAAAATGTTTTCTCATTGTGTAATAAAAGTGTTATAGAAAGTTTATGCAAAAATCGTATAAATATGTAGATTATTGGTCAAAGTTTGAGGAAATTAAACATTTTTTAAATGTCAAGTAAACAGATCATAAGAAAAACATTATTAAGCAACAAATATCAGTTATGTTTCTAAAGCTGATTGGAAGCAAAATATATGAATCAGATATATTTATACACAGTTTTAAATATTTTTCATCATCTTATGTTTTTTATAATCAACTAAGACGTGATTTCCAATTGCCATCAGTTAGTACTTTGACACACATTGCATCAAAAGTTTGCAAAATTGATGATGCTAGTTTCTTGGACAAAAAATTGGTATAATTATATAAGATGAAGTATATGTCAAAAAAATGATGTTTTACCATGGCAGAATATTGTTTGATAAATCTATAGATGATCCATCATTATTGGCTAAAACTGTGTTGGATTATGATAGTATGTCTTAAAGGTGATCTTAAATTTCTGTAAAAGACAATTCCAATTTCAAAATTCTCAAATTTTTATAATAAATTTTTAAAAGACTTATAAAACCATCTTCTTATGATGTAAAAGTTGTGTGATGGTAAACCAGTAAACCAAGCATGTTTTAAATTATATCATACTATTCCAGAAAAACCTTTGATAACGGAAGATGGGATGTATTTCAAATTTTGAAAAGCATTAGGAATCTATGATTTAAAGAAAAAACTGGGCAACTAGTGTACAGTGATAATGGCATTCAAATAACAGCTTAGAACACCTTAAATGCATATATCAATTAAATTCAAATGGTATAGCAAAGAACAAGTTGTAACACCTAAAATAAATATATCAATAAGAATCAGAAAAGTTAGTTAAAATGTCAGACTTAAATGAAATTGCCCCCAAGCCAGTTAAAAAGCAAAATATATCTACTTGCCTTAAATTTTTTTTTTAGATAAGAAATATCATGCCTTGCTGACCTATTCTCAAATAATTTTAAACTCTAAGAATACTGCAATATTTATAAAGTAATAACCTGGTGGAAAATTTTGAATGTGAAAAGTTGTGGAAGATGATATAACTTGATGATGATGGCAGTATTAAATGCAGTGGTAGAGCACTGGCCTCATAAGCAAGAAGTTCAGTGTTCGATCCCCACCACATTCCTGGTAGTACTGCGTTCAACTTGTTTCTGTGTGCAGCAGCCTTGTTTGTCAAGATTCATATTTCAGTTTGGAGAGTTTGGAAAGGGATGTAACCACAATTAAAAGTAGTCTCCTCAACTGTAGTAGCCTTTGTAGCTTTGGGGAGGTGAACTAACATTAAAAAAAACAACACAATGATCCACTTAAAGCACCTAGTTGTAGTCAAGATGATTGCTGTCTTAATACTTTACTTCAGTTTGATGATGTGGCTCTTGAAACGTGTTGTAAAAATGGCAAAAGAGTTTAGCAGTTATCTAATGATACTGCTAAATCAATTCACCATACTTGCAATGGCACTGTCAAACTATGTAAACATTTATTACCAACTATGAACAAATTTAAAAAAAATTGCGTATAAGTTAAACATCACTGTTGTTATCTTTAAATATCAAGATTCTTTTGTTCAGGTCATGAGTGTGCTTCTTGCCCATATATTTTATGTGAAGCAGGAAGTGAAATATTTGACAATTTAGAAAAAATAGAGTCATCAATTTCTGATACCAAAACCAAAATCTTTTTGATTTACATTGCTGGTTATGGATGTAGAAATGAATATAATGAAAAGTATTAATAATTAAATATAAATATTTTTTTTGTCAGGGTCATTTCTACAGGGCCAGGGAAACAACATCAGTTTTTGTTATGTGCAATAACATATCGTCACATTAGAATTATAGGGTTCTATCTGCCTTTTTTTATGTTGTGAGAACTTAATTTTCAATATATATTTAATACATGTTTTACAGCTGTTATTCATTATAATTATAAATTATAAGTTGTGTATATTATCTGTTAAAAATGTTAAAAAATAGTATATAATATATCATTTTTTAAGTGGTTTGTTTTTATTATTAATTATTAATTAAAACTTTGATTGTTAAATTCTTTCAACATAAAACAAGGCAGATAGAACCCTATAATTCTCATGCGACGATATGTCCAACAATATCTGTAAATATAATAATACATCTGTCCAACAACATCTGTAAATATAATAATACATCTGCCCAACAACATCTGCAAATACACTGAAGTATTATAACATCTGTCCAACAACATCAGAAATTTTATAGATGTCTAATAACATCTTTGTTAAAAGTATATGACAACCTCAGATGTAGTTACATCTTCTCAATTATCTCAGTATTATATCATCTGTGCAACTACATCTGGAGACTTTACAGATGTAGTTACATCTTTTCAATTATTTTAAGAATAACTACATCTGTACAACTACACCTGTGAATTCTTCATTCTGTGAAGATATATTTGTATGTTTTCAATTATACTAAAAATAACTAGAGGATTTTTTTTAATTGTAATTACATCAGGAAAAAATTATAAATAACAATGCATTATTTTAACTAAATTACATATAAATGGTTTTTTTCAGATGTAGTTACATCTGAATAAATGTATAAACATAAATGCATTATTTTAACTAGATAAACATAAATGCATTACTTTTACTAGATAAACATAAATGCATTATTTTTACTAGATAAACATAAATGCATTATTTTTACTAGATAAACATAAATGCATTATTTTTACTAGATAACATAAATGCATTATTTTTACTAGATAAACATAAATGCATTATTTTTACTAGATAAACATAAATGCATTATTTTTACTAGATATATTTACAAAATATTTTTTTCAGATATAATTACAACTAGAGGAAATTCTTCCAGATGTTATTGGGCTTGGAGAAAAGTAACCAGATGTAGTTATTTCTCAAGATGTTGTTAGGGGTCATTGAATTTCCAGATGATATTGGACAAGTATTGATAGAGTATTAAAATAAAAAAAATAAAAAATAAAAAACTTCTTGGACTACTTTACAGAAGTTGTTGTTTGACAGATGTAGTAATCATTGACTTTGAATTTTACTATTTTGAAACTAATCAGAAACTTTGCAACACACTTGCTAATATATTTTTAAACAACTTTGTTTATAAAGAGCCTGCATTAAAAATGTTGAAGTTATCATAGACTTATTTAGAAAATAATAATTTTTATTTGTTATTGTTGAAATACATGCAAACATTTTATTTGCTTTTATTTTTTTATTTTTTTTAAACAGAAAATTCTAACTTTTTATTACATTTTAATATTTCTAAATAAACTAACTAAACTCATTAATAGTCTAATTAAAATGATTAATATTTAGTCATTAACAGTCTAATTAAAATCATAAATATTTTGACTCCAAAATATATTTTTATAGCAGAATTCCTAACAATCCATAAAAATAATGGGCCCAGTCATTGCTTATGGTTATGCAATGAATAGGCTTACATATATATAAATGTATATATATATATATATATATATATATATATATATATATATATATATATATATATATATATATATATATATATATATATATATATATATATATATATATATATATATATATATATATATATATATAAATTTGTTTTTACCTCTTGAATGGCTATGTGATCTTCTTTCTTTTTTCCTCTACAAAAATCATAAAGAATTAACCCGTAATGAAGTATATAAACATTAAATTATATGTAACTTTTTATAGTAAAATATTACTTTAAAACAGATATTCTTTGTTTTAGAACAGCCTTTTCATTTTGTAATGATGTAACTTTAACAGAATGATTTTTCTAAAAAATAAATTTTAAAACTTATTATATTCTAAAACTATGAATTTATAAAACGTTTTTAAAATTATCAAATTTTGAAAGTAAAAATTTCAAGAGTCTATAAGAGAGTGACCAAATAATTACGAAATTTTTTATAGTTCAAGAAATAAACTACAATAGCATTTTACAACTATAGTAATTTGGATCATAGATGAGGAGAAAAATGTAGTCAAAAATAGAACTGGTTCAGTTTTAATAATACATTCAACTTTATACAGTCTCTTGAAACTTTAAAAAAAGATTTAATTAAAAAAATTATAAAACCAAGCTACTAAATAATAAAACAGCAAATTTTTAAATTTATTTAAATATCATTTAGCTGGAGCAAGTTGTTTTTAATGCTGAAACTAAAATTAAGGCACAGGAACACTATTGACTAAAGAGGTTTATAACATGCCTACATATGTTAATGAATTTTAAATCTTCACATAATATAAAACAAGATGAATTTTATATAAAAAAATAGATTCAGTGCTAGCCTAAACTAAATCAAGTTTTCTGATTCTGTTCAGATTGTGATCACACCATGATTTGTTCAGATTGTGTGATTCCTTTTTTAAAAAATTGCATGTAAATTGTAAATAATAAAAAATAATTTTTTTTTTTACTTTCTAAAAAATTGCAGATACTACAGTAACATACTCAAGGAAAAACAATAAACACACACACTGGCCCACAACAAATTTAAGACTAATAAAAATGTCAACAAAAACAGTTTGCAGATCCCTTTAGAACTTTTTTTGTAGATCACACATATGTTGAAATTAAAATCCTGGCTGCTTGTCTATGATTTTTAACTAACTTTTAATTTAGTCATTATTTCAAAACATATATTTTTCACCTGGCATATGGTAATAGATAAAACTGTGACTTAGAGTTGCTATTACAATTACTTCAGCTATCTGCAACACTTTTGAAAGTTATTATAAATCTACAATATGCAATGAAACCACGGTTTTGCACACTTTAAATCAAATTGGAGCAATTGCTAAGTGAATTAGAATCAAAAGAAGTAAAAAATTGTTTTAATTAATATTTTTATAACTAATGTTAAAAAAAACTAGGTTTAAACAAATAAAATTAAAATAAATAGAAAATAAAAGTGTTTTAAATATCTAGAACTAAATTCCACAACAGCTTTCATCAATTGCTCCCCATTGGTGATTATATTAATTTGATATCATGACCAATACTTTAAAAATTCCCTATGGATTGACTCTCCGGCTTGTTCAAATACAAGTCCTAGTCCATAATCTAATTTTAGTTCACAAAGGCATTGTTCAATGTGTTCAAGAATTTTGTGCATTTTCAGGTTTTTCAGATAAATCTGTTGCCTGAAACATTGTTTTCAAAACTTGTAGGTAATGAGATAAATTGTGAGAAACCTTTCCAGTTCCAAAACAACATTTGACAACATTGTCCAATGCTTTTAGCAATGAAACTAAAGGCAACAACAATAATGGGCTAACTTTACCAAGGAAATCAGCTTCAAAAAGTTTATCTGCATGTTGAAGTAGCTTACAACATGCATTGCCTTTAAAAACCTCACCCTAGACAAAAATTACGAATTAACTAATTTTGATGTCATTTAGTAAAAACTAAATTTTTTATCAAATTCTATCCTGGTAATTTTTTGAACTTCAAGGGCCATAGCATGGCTTTTTCTCTGCCTAAAAGTGGTATAATTCCCTTTCAAAAGACATGATTTATGAACCCTTGTATTAAATATAATTCAGGAAGAAGGCATTTATCTATAACAAACATAGAATCTGGTTTGTTAAAAAGTTGAAGGTTCACTGAGCTTATAGTGTTTAAGGCATCTCTTTTTTTTTATTCCTCTTAATAGCTGAAACTTAATAAAATATATATTAAGCATATATTAAATATCTATTATTAAATGAGTGATGTTACCTAGGTAACAGAAAATTATTTAATACAGAATGTTGTTTCATTTTACCTGTTGCAGCATTTTTTCAGATCACCATATGTTCGCAAACCTGCACATCTATTGTTCAAAGATTTCAAATATCTAAATTGCAGTTTACATCACCTATATATTTTTATTCCTTCAGTGTAATTAATCCTCGGAGTGACCGTAATTTAATATAGCAATATGGACATAGATTTGTTGAAGTGGCTGTCTGCAGACCATTAACAACCAAAATTAATTTAAAGTCAGCTACAAAAACAAAAAGTATCCTATCTAACCTATTGAAATTTAGCAGCAGTTTTATGTTTTCATAAGATTCTTTAATTTGAGGTACTATACAAAGCATTATTAACCTGTGAACACCTGTTAACTTTCCTTTTTTGCTAGCTGTACCCCCTTCAGAATACAAGGATCTTTTTTTTTACTTGAATTTTTTTTGATTATCTGCCTTAGTAATAAATTTATTAACTGATCTTTTTCCTTTTCTGGTTAGGTTTTGTTAATATTTTCTGCTGATTTAGTTTGCTTGCAATAATGGGACAGTCTTTTTCCAATTTCTGATTTGCAATACAAACAAATGATTATAGAATTTGCACCTTCATTACCTATAAATTTTGAACAGAAATATCACTCTCTTCATTTATTACTATATGTATATATAAATTATACCAAAGCTTATAATATTTACTTTGACAAGATTTTAAAGAAATTCCGGCAGCAGCAAGTAAACCACTGTCTTCAGTAATGTTAGAGGTCAATCTTCTTTTAAAACCTCTTCCTTTGAAGACGAGTTGATGACCAATATATCTTGCTGTGATGCATATATAGCAATTGCATTGTCTTTCTTCTCTAGTTCTAGTTTCTTTTATCAATAATATGTCTTCATAGTTTGGCATTTTAGGCAATTTTCTATTTTTAATACCTTTGTCTCACTCATTTAGTGTAATTCTGCAGGTGTCACATATACTAAGAGGATATTTGCTGTTTCCTATGACAAAATATGAATTTATATACATTTCACAATTACACAATTTGTTCAGCTATCTTTTCTGTGATTTAAACTTCTGAGACTTTTCTTTTGATATTATTTTTTTCCCACATGGTGCAAACACTTTTACTCTAGATTCATCATGATTTGCTGATTTGATGGACATATTTTAAGTTTTATACTTAATACTTATTTTCAAAGACTTAGTTCATACTTTTTCAAACAATAAAGATGTCAAAGATAAAGACTTTATTTTAATATGCATGAATAATATCATAGTTATTACCTCTAACATTTTTTGTCATTTTCATTTATAACTACTTTATAAAAGCTCACAATTTTATTAATTCAGTTTATATATTTAGTTATAATAGAGTTCTTAGCTATTTAGTAAAACAAAATTAGTTTAATTATAAACCAGAAATATACTCAAATGATCTAGTTATCCTATCAAGTATTTAAACCGGACATTGACAGGAAATTGGACTAGCAGCTAGGATTTTAATTTCAACAGATTTAAGATGTACAAAAAAAGTTCTTAAAGGATCTCGAAAGAGTTTTTGTTGACATTTTTATCGATCTTGAATTTGTTGAGGGCCAGTGTAAACAAGTAACAAGAAAATATCTCAATAAATATAGGTACCAACAAAAAATAAATAATAAAATCATTTTGTATTCTTTCCTCTTTTTTAAAAGTACTTAGCAAATAGTGAATATATTTCTCTATCAAATGATCAGTAAAGGAACACTATAACAGAGGTAGTTTTAGAATACTATAAAACGAGACACAAATACAATCAAAACACCACATATTAAAACTGTATGCTGGTTTTATCAAATAAAATATATTTGAAATAAAGTTTTATTACTTCATGGACTTTTACCAATAGCTAAGTACTAGTATAAAGTAAATACCTAAATAATACAACATACAAATACTAAATGTGATAAAAATAATAAGTATAATACCAATAATAATAATAACAGCAACAATAACGACAACATTAACAACAACAACAAAAAAAAAAATAAAAATGATAAAATTGATAATAGTGTTAACAATAATAATAATAAATCTGAGCTGGTTTTTTTATACTTGAGTAATGATAAATTTACACAACACAGATTGTTTTGTTAAGTGATTTAAAAGATTTGTTGATTATATATTCAAAACCATGCAAACAACGCTTAATTGAACTGCAGTCAGATGGTGTGTTTATTACAAAATTGCACACAATCAACATTTGCTATAAGTTTATTTTAAAAAAAGGATTAAGATTCATTTGTTTAAACTAATAAATCTTAATCTTTTGGTTATAAATACATTAGACTTTTATACATATATTTATATATATTTATATATATATATATATATATATATATATATATATATACACATATGTTTATTGTATGTATATATATAGTATATAATGTCAGGTCAGGTTTATCCTGCTACTGGTAACTTGTAGGATACGCCTTTTTAGGCAAAGGCTAGGAAATGCCAACTCCGACATAAAACACCCCCTGCCTTGAGGCTCTTGGTTGAGTAAAGGCTAGAGATGGTGTTTTGATAAAAATACTCATCTTGGGCAGATGTTAAATGCATCCGGCTGCTGTCTTGTAGAAGGCCTCCTAGGCAAAGACTTAAGGGGTAAATAGATTCTGTTGACCAGCCTTGCACCCCTTCTTCATCTATTAGGCTGACGCAGATGTGCTTTTAATACATTGTTTCCAGTTTAGGATGTTGAACGCCGGATCTTCTTGACTTGATGCGTGGCTTTTGCTTGTGTCTCTGTTTTTATGACTAGGCAACTCATTCTATTATCTCCAAATGAGGGTACAGCTCTAAAACTCAGTTTTATGGTTCTGAGGTCGGCTGGTAGTCAGGTTTCCTGAACTCTGTGGTAGCTCTCAGAGAGGCTGATTCCATCAACGACTGAAAAATATCAAAGTACTAACAGTGCCATGTTGTGCATGGATAGTGTCCCTGTTTGTACTTTTGGTGTCCATTGCCAAGGCCACCTTAGAGCCCTTTGTTACGGC